CTACAAACCCAGTTCCTGTTCTTGCCCAGCCCAATGAGCACTAATCAACTCCTTAGCCCACAACACTTAGGTACTTGCTCCTGCCCACCTGTGACTCACCTATCAACTGAGAGGGGATGGTACTGCATTGCTGTGTAACAACACCCCTCACAAGACCCTTAAAAGGCCTGTGGAGCAGGGGCTCACTCTCTTTCTGGCCAGGTGCTTCCATTACTCTGGCACCTCAACTCTTGGCTGACCCAGGACAGGTAATCCCCTGAGCATGGTCCCTGTGTACTGCTGAGATGGGAAAATGGTTATAATAATGTTGTTTCTGGCTGGTGTGTAGTCATGAGTTCCAGGAGAGGGGACACCTAGCAGTAGTGCAATGTGGGCAGAGAAGCCAGGGAAAGGTGAATGTTTGCAGCTTTGGAAGTGTGTCCAGGTTATTCCTTGCATGTCTCCTAGAATAACTTATATTGTTGGGGAAGCTGGGACATAGGTCTTCAGCTTAATGGGTGGACTTAAGGATAATGACCATTTGTTCCTTTTGGGATTATGATTGGTTGGATTATGATTGGCTGGATTGTCATATGGACTTGTGATTTGCTATTTCTAGTATGCTCTATTATCACCAAGCTTGGTTAATAAAGACTCCTTTATAAACTTTAGACATGTCTGGTGTGATCTCGCTCAAACCCCTCAACAACATCATATAACCAAAATCTCTCCTGCCTTTCTCTGCCAACTTACACTCACATGGCATTTACCAGTAATTCTGTCACAATTCCTTCTTATCTCAAAAGGTGACTCATGGAAATCGCTTTCTCCAAATCCCCACACTAAATATTGCAGGAGACTACCACATTTCAAATCTGGAATAACCAGTTTCTTTAAGGTTCTTTAGAAAAAAGAATTTGCCTTATTTAAATTTGTGTTAAGTGAATGAAAGAATACGCTACTTGAGGAAAGAAGGCAGGAAAGAGAAAATTTATTTTCACCAGTAGCTTCTTGAGATAATAATGAATTATAAATCTCCATATGTGCTGTGAAGATTGGAAAATTATACCAACATTCAAAAAAAATGCTACTTATCATGTTTGCCTGGATAGAAACCTAAAGATGATGAACCAACGTGTTCTCCCACAAATTAAAATAGAATGTTTAAATGATTTTCTAGGGGCCTGTGTTAAGATTCCAGTTTCCTGCTAATGCAGACCTGAGGAGACAACAGGAAGGGTTCCCATCAGCCAGGAAGGAGACATGACTGACTTCCTGGCTGGGATTCCTGGACCAGCATGTCCCAGGCTGTCACTGAGACATCTGGAGGACGAGCCAGCAAACAAGGCACTCTCTCTCTTTCTCTATCTCTGGCTTTTTCTCTTTCTCTCCCTGTATTTCTCTGCCTCTCATATGAATAAGAGTATTATTGTTAAAGTTACCAGACTACAAACAGAAAAACTAAATTTAATAAATTAATAAAATAACTTCATTTCCTCTAATAGAAAATGATCTATTTCCTTGAAGGGAAATCTGTGATTATAACCCATAAAAATAGGGTCTTAGCAGGCCTTGGGCTCTGGGGTTTTGATGATATGAAATAGGTGCTTTGGGACACCCAAAAGTAAGACCAGCGTTAGTGTAGGTGAGACACTAATTTCTGGTGATTCCCAGGAACCGGGACATGAAACCTTAATGTAAGTGCGGGACTGAGAGACGAATGTTCGGACTAAGCAAACCTTAGTCCACTAGTATGACTGGAACACATGGTGCAACACAGGACATGCCCAGCTTGGATTTGGCTCCAACTGGTCCACATTAAGCACAAAGTTGAGCCACAGTGTCTAAGGCAGGGGTCATGACAGGTGGATGGGGCTGCGGCAGGGTCTGGATACAGCTGTCCTCTCCCTTGGCACAAATGTGGATTGGGAAAAGATGTACCGGGCCGGGCCAGACACTAACACCTTCTGGTGCTCTGGAGTACCAGGGTGGATGTGGGACAGACTAGGCTAGGTCCCAACCTCAACTTAGCCATATACGAGCTATATGGGGGCATGGATGACCGTGGCTGGGCTGAAACACTCTACAGCAAGAACCAGAACGGGATGATGGCCAGTTAGGAAAGACCACTGTTCCTGCTAGGATAAGAGGCGAACTGGCACATGGACCCACTGATATGCGCGAAACCTGGCACATGGAGGGGTTCTGATGGAGGAGCTCAGGCAACTCCTCTGACAGGACACAGACCCTGCAGGTCAGCGCAAGGAACATGCAAGGCAACAGCCAAGAGGTCATAGAAAGTGTCCCACTGGCATGCATTTGGCATGGGTCGGGGGCAGACCAGGCTGAATCTGTTCATGTCATCCACTGGTAAATCTGACCGCCAGAACAGAGTGTGGGTCGAACCAGGTCCGGTCGTAACAAAAGCAACACACAAGCTGGAATGCCAAGGTGAGGTAGCCTGAGCCGGATGCAGCCGCAGCACCCAACCAACACACGTGAGAACCAGGAAAGGAGGCGGCAGAGCTGACAGGAGAAAAAGGGGAGGTTCCCTAGCTGAACAGCAAATTACACTGAGGAACGGGAGCTGGGTGGGGGGTAGACTAGACCAGGCAGGGACACAGCGCCTGTGCACCTCATGGGGACCAGATTGGGTGAAAACCAGGCTGGGCTGACTATTCCCACTGGAGCAAGCCACAATCAGAGTTGGTGAGGGTTGTTGGGGCTTAGTTGTAGCACCAGTTGGCGGAAGCTGGTACAAAGGGTTAGACACGTTGAGTTGAACCACAGGGCCAAATGGAGAGGGCACAACGGGAATGGGAGTGACCTGGGAGGGAAACAGTGGGTTCCTCCCTCGTGGGTCATCACCTTCCACGGGAGGGCATGGGAACTAGGACAGGGGCTGGGGTGGCTAGACAGACACCCAACAATATCCGTTAGGGACGGTAGGAGGAGATAGTTGGATGGAAGTAGGTGGCAACACCTGTTGGCAAGAATATGAACAGAAGGGTACTGGGGACAGACTGAGCTAGTATGCCATATATACTGGCAAGCCAGGGTAGGAGGTGGGCCTGGTTGAGGCTACTGTGGGCCGCCCTGACTGGGCTGCAACTCCTACTAGTACGTGCAAGGGACAAGTGCGTCCAGGGTGGAACCAGGCGGGACTGCAAGAGGACACGGGTGGAGACAGATCCGGCCCAGCAACTGCAGCCGCCAGCTGACCGGGGCAGTGGACTGTGCCGGGCCCTATGCTACTAAAACAACAGGAATCAGGACTGGGAATACCTCAAAATTTCTTCGAGGATCTTCCCATTCGAGACACCGGACTCGGAGTCCTAACCAGGGAAAGACAGGACAAATCAAGCAATAACCTCAGCCATCTGTTGGCAGCAGAGACTGGGCAAATGGAGACCCTAGAAGGGACTGTGTCAATCAATGAACTCTTCAATGACCACATCATGATTGGGGTGGCGAGACTGGCAACGACCCATGAATGGTGAACTATTGGAACCACTTGATCGAGTATCTCGGAGCGCGCCCCACACCCAGGACTTGGGGTGGGCGGGAGACTGGGTGGGGCTTCTTCCTCTATATCCCCCTTTAGACCTTGAATCTTTTTTATCCCAATTAAATTTGTAAGGATTGTCAAAATTAAATAAAAAAAAAAAAAAATAGGGTCTTAGAAAACTATTCCACCATCTACAGAATTCTGAATTAAGTATATACAGATGTGTGCAAATACATATGCATATGTATATACCATATCTAAAGAAAATGATTCAAAAGGTCTCTTTTCCTTCCCATGATAATGACAAAAATCATTCTACGTTTCCAAGTATAATAAAATTCAGTTTAAGACACTGTCCACTGATTAGCCTCACTTTTGAATCACCCACTCTGTCCTGTATTTCAAAACTTAAATGTTACAAAATAATTTTCCTGAACACAACAATAAAATTATCTTTTTGCACACTGCAATTTCTCCCTAAAAACTCAACTCTACAATAAACACGAGCTTCTAAAATACATCTCTGCTCCATTCTGCTTTACATTGGATTTGTCCACTAGGAGTACTGACATGTGATGGAACAAAATTATGTTTGTTCTACAAAACGACATTATTAAAAAATGGGGGTGGGGACCTACATGCTACTAAAACACATCCAAAAAATCTCACTGTTTCTGCAAAACACAATCTTTAGAGGGAAATTTTAAACGCCAGAAACCCATGTTAAGAAACTTGAATCTTTTTTTTTCTCCTCTTTCATAAATACCTAAAGATTAAAGTAAATGGTTTGGCTTAGCGAATATACATTATTCACCTTCATTTTAGGATGATGTTTACCAAAATATCATAAATACTTAATAGCGACTGTTCACAGTGCTTCTAGCAAAAGGCAGTAAAATGCAAGATAAACCTCAGCTGTGAAAGCCCCAGAGCTTTGCCTTGCATTTCATCACTCTCCTTTCCCCATCTCCTGCTCAGGGGAGCCCAGAATCTAACGACCACCAGAGACAGCTCCCCTGCATGCTAAACAGAAATGTTATACCCCGGGGAAGCCATTCATCATGTCCACATAAAGAATAACTGCATGCCAACGTTCCACCACCAGCCCAAGGGGCCTGCCTGGCAGCTAAAAAAAAAGAAACATCGCTGCGGGAAGCAGTGATCAAGGATGCCCCTTCTCAGTTTTTATTGTACATTTCTGCTTAAAAAGTCTATGTCTACAACATTTTCAAGATACCGAGACAATTAACTCCAAGCTCAAAACACACAAGTGTGTTTGTGGCACTTATGGACCTCTTAACTGGAAATCGCCAACTCAGGCTCCGGTAGCCCAACAGGCAAGAATCAGAGCCAACTCTCACTCACGAATCCAGATCTTCAGATACACTGCATTTGCAATACCAAGTCACTGTGTTTCTTAAACTCTTTTCTAGACAATGACTACATGTGCTACGGATAAACACGGATTCTACTTATGACTAAACTACGGATAAAGTGATGAGGAAAAACTCACGGAATTAATGATCCCCTTGAGGGCTTGAAATCCACCTTTGACAGGGAAAACTTGTTCCTTGGAATCAGCAATTTTTTCAAGCTTTGGGAAAAGGAAGAAAATTAAGAGGCAGTGGACACACAAAACTCTACCCAGTCATTGCAGTCAACTCAGTCCATCTGAAAAAAAAATTACTGCACAAGATAAATGTATGAGGGTGGTCTGTGTTTAAGGTCGGACACTGAGTGTGAGGATCTAAAGGAATCTCCATGAAATGATCGGAGATCCATGAACCCTTTCAGCCCCAAGCTGCAATTCCAGAACAATGCAGAGCTCTAAAAGCAGCTAACCCAGGCAAAAATTTAAACACAATTTTGTGAATTAAAAAAAAGCAAAAGTTTTTTCTGTGAACCCTCGAAACTTAATGAAAACGTCTCAAAAACAATTGCTAACAGCTTTTCCTTAACAGACTTCTCAAATCTGCATACCTATGGCTCAAGTTCGCCATCAAAGTAACATCTCTGACATAATGAGTTTGTAGAATCAGAGGGGTATTCATATCAGTACAATCCAAAAATGTACTTTATGCCAACTTGCAAAAACAAAGTGTTCAAGAAACACAAAGTTTCACTTCTCAGTCATGAAACCTATTTTTTCACATGATTGAGATAGAGCTCATCATATGGCCATTTTAGACAAAAATATATATTTTTTATAGGAAATCTTTTAATGATTGATTATGGCCACACGTGCTCAAGGACAAGCTAACCTTAAAGACGAGTGTGTAAACAATGTTCTCCTATCTGTCTTAACTCACCTGAGCTTGTTCAAAGTCAAGGACACCAACACAATAGACGCTAGCCCCGAGTGATCTGGACAGTTGTGCCTGTTGAGAAAGGGAGGAAGCGAATTATTCAGATAGCCAGCTCTCTACACAGAGACGCATACCCCTGTACAGCGGGGTGGGGAGAGCTGTTACAGTTCAATACTCACCTCCTTCTCTGCATATGATGGCACCAGACCGTCCAACTTCCCATCTGTCAGAGCAATTATGATACTGGAGGTTTTCAAGCCTCCTGCTTTCTGAATTTGCTCATTCGCCTGAAAATGAAGAATAATTATCCAACTCACAATTTAATTTTAACTTTTAACCAGCATGTTTCATCAAACTCAATTTTTAACTCAGACAAAAATCAAAACACTGACTGGTTTTTAAAACGGGTATTTTGTGGGGGCATTTCATTTGAAATATGCACTTAGTCGCAAGATAAAGTAGTTGCTATTGTGTTTCAATAAGAATAGATTTTTGGCCTCATCTGACTTTAATCACAGATCAAAACTGAGAATTCCTTAAAAGGCAAAGTGCCATACCAACTTTTATCACCATAGCAAAAAATGCCTAGTACCACTCTCATCTCTAGCACAATAAAAAGCATTTAAAAAAATAAAAAAGCACTTGCCCTCAGCCAACAGGTGAAAGAGTTTGTAAACTCTGTAAGGAATTACATGTTAGTGCAGAGGAAAAGGGGCTCTCCCTACCTGTGGATATAAAAAAGAACTTCAGACAGGAGGGAGGGTAGGATGAGAAGTAAAACTTTACCCTCTCTACTGCAAAATACTTGAAATACGTTCACCATAAAAATAAAATTTAAAAATAAAGCAAAAGATATTAAAATGATCATAACACCACCACCCCACCCCCCCAGAAAGCACTCACAAGTTTTAGTCCTTCATGGATATATGTCTCTCCTACTGGACTAACACGTTTCAAATCCTCCAAGCCTTTGCTGATTTTGCCTCTGAAATTAAAGCAATAGAATATTAAAAGAAAGGAAAGTGAAAAACTATCAGTTACATTTTCTTCGATAAGAAGCAGAAGAAAAGGACGTGGGTTTTGGGGCAGATGGCTGCACAGTACCTTCTGTCACTTTAATAAGTACTTAATAATCTCTACAACTTTGCAAACAAAAATACTAAAAATATCTTTAAGCATATTCTGAACTGAGATCTTCAGTCACATTTGATTTACTCAATGCTAAGAAGCAGCACAAAGCCACAAGGAATGAGTGTCTCAGCTTCAGTGCCAAGTTATTTCTGAAACATTCTCCCACCTCCCTAAAAGTTGGAAATGTTTCTTCATTAACTGCGAATCCCTAAGGCACATCACTTAACCCTTACCTATGGAAATTAATCTACTCGACTCTCCCAAAGTCTTAAGTCTCATAATTTATCCACTTTCATGAGCCATTTTAACTACAGTAAGACCTTAACACATCTCTGATGAATAGCCAGGAGTATAGATGTATGCATGCGTGCATGAACAGACGGATGTAGGATAGACAGACGGGCCACTGCGTACTGACCACATGGAAGAGGCAATGTGAGTGAAAAAGATACAAAAACCATGGAATATTCTTTTACAACATGACTAATGCCACCATGGAATATAAACAGAGTATTATTATCAAAATACTACTAAGACCTGGTTACTTTGTGTGGCTAAAGGAAAGCCTCGTTTTAAGGAATTTCTTTAGATTCCAACACCCTCTAAAAATAAATAAAACTACAAAAACATATTAAGAGATAAACTGATTATTGTAGCAAAAGCTATTCAAAATAAATTCAAAATTCCTTTTTAAATTATGAATTTAAAAGCTCAGATAAGTCCTTCTTAGAACATTATTTCCAGAATTTTGGTTTCTCAATAAAAGCAGAAAAAGGTGTCTTTTTAAATCTGAAGTTCTTACAATGGTAAACAAATGGTAAGATTTTAATCAAACAGGCGGAGTATCCACACTACTGAAGGTGAGAGATGAGAAGGTGAATTCCAGAAAGTATTACCTTGACAACAAGGCCTTTGCAGGTATCAGACACAAAAGCTTGTGTGTGTGTCTGTGTCTACACCATATGCTATTTTAACACATGGCAAAAGAGCAAAGCAAAATAAAATAAAGTCATTCCTGAAATATGGTGTTGAAACAGTGGAAACAAGTGAGCTCCAGAGACACACACATATTTGTGAAAATTATTATCAAGTAAGTTCTCCATTACAGGAGATTTCTAGAAAACAGACAACTTTCGGGGTATGAAGCTGACCCCCCCTTCCTCATCTAGTCATCGCCCCTAACACAGGTCGTTTGTCTCCTTGACTATTATTAGTTTAGTATCTAACCATTCCAAACTTTTCTATAAGCACATTACACTTTCTTAAGAGTACCCAAGTTTTCTACTCATAACCAACTTGTACTATCATAAGAACTTGTTTCTTTAAACATTCTACTTTTTTATATGTAATCTTACATAGTTGATTAGAGTACAAAGGGTCCAGGGCTACATGAAGGTGGGTAAGACCATTGTTTACACACTAAATCATCATTTTTCCTCCGTATCTGGGGTCAAGGGAGAAACAAAGGGAGAAGCCCCATCCAACCTCCCACACATCCCACAGCCCCAATGTGAGACACGCTCTGAGGGTTCTGCTCAAACAGTTTTGATAGTTCAACAGCCCTGAATTGCTGTCAATCTCTCTGTTCCAATCACAATGAAATCTATTCAGAATCCACTGGCTGGCATAGTCTCTTCATGGCTGGGGTTCTGAGATCAGCAGTTCAGTTGGAGGGATCCCCAAAGAAACTTTGTCTGAGGTGATCCCAGAACTGATTCTTGCGTGTGCTTTCCAGTACAGGGTCCGGCACATTCCAATGCCCCAATCAGCTTATGCACATGCTGGTTGTTGCAACTGCTGGGTCAGTTCTTCTTCCAGCCCCGACTTCCACGCGAACCGATGGGTGTTGTAGTCCAGCCCGATCCTGCCCACTTCATTCTCAGCCCTCATGCAAACCAGTGGGAGCTGCAGCCTAGTTGGGGCGACTCCCCATACCCCCCACCAGGCCTGCCCCCTACTCTGGTCCCCATGCTTGCTGGTTTGTACTGCAGACTTTTTCAGTCTGTCCCACATCCCATCCAGCTCTCATATGTGTCAATGGGCATTGAATCCTAGTTCAACCCAACCAGCCCTACTGTCCAGTCCACACACACACACATTTAAAATTCATTAACAGTTTTAATTACTTGCATTTATACGTTCACCTAACAAACCTGGAAGGTTAAATAAGCTGTCGCTATGACTTCTATTGATAATATACGCCCCTGGACTTCACTTACTACTTACAATACCTTGTATTATATGTAAATATGTAAATGCTCAATAATGGTTGATCAAAGAAAACACTCATGTTTCCCCAGATGATGGAGTAAATTACATAATCTATCACTTGTTTTATCCAAATATTTATGTTTAGTATCTACAGAAATAATTTGATTCTGTCTGAATGCAGATACAAACTAAATATTTGGGGCTTCCGAGAAATGAGTGGCAGTGTGTCCTCAAGCATTAATGTTTGCTGCCAAAAGGGAAAGGAAAAAAGACAACTGAAATGCGAGTTTACACAAACAGATTTTTCTTGGTAAAAAAAAAAAAAAAATATATATATATATATATATATATATATATATATATATATATCTCCTTCATTCAATTCAGATCAGCTCACTATCATTTCTAAGTACCAGATGACGCTAGAAACATAAGCTGTGTCACATCTGAGGTTTTTTGGAAAGGTAAGCCTCTGCCAATATATTCATTACAAGAGACAGAGCACTTTGCGATTTCTTTATCCTTACACCCCCACTTGCTACAATAATTGTTCACACTGCACTGCATCCCATAGTTACTTTTGCAGTCACATAATTACAGGCACCGATTCTCCATCCTTAGTCAAGGATGCCAACACATGAGTCTTCTTGGTAACTGCCTGCTGGGTTGGTGGCTCTCAACCACCAAGGTGTCACTTGAGATAAAATGAAAGCCAAAGCAAAGGAGCACAGATCTTGAGCTTCCAAAGAATACCACTCAACTAAGCTCGAAGAGTCTCAGGCCAGTGTTATCACATAAAGGGTAAAGACAGCACAGGCAGTGCTGGCATTCCATGTGGATGGGCGCTCATGTCCCAGGTGCTCCACTTCCAATCCAGCTCCTTGCTGATGACCTGGAAAAAGCAGTGGAGGACAGTCCAAATACTCGGGCCTCTGCTACTCAAATGGGAGACCTCGAGGAAGCTCCTGGCTCCTGGCTTCTACCTGGCTCAGCTCTGGCTCTCAAAGCCCCCTGTAATGTGATACCAACAGGTAGAAGATCTCTATCTGTAACTTTGCCTTTGGAACTCTATGTAACTTTGCCTTTCCCATAAAATAAATAACTCTTGGGCCCGGCGCGGTGGCGCAAGTGGTTAAAGGTCCTCGCCTTGCACGCCCGGGATCCCATATGGGTGCCGGTTCTAATCCCAGCAGCCCCGCTTCCCTTCCAGCTCCCTGCCTGTGGCCTGGGAAAGCAGTCGAGGACGGCCCAAAGCTTTGGGAACCTGCACCCGTGTGGGAGACCCGGAAGAGGCTCCTGGCTTCGGATCGGCATAGTATCGGCCCGTTGCGCTCACTTGGGGAGTGAATCATCGGATGGAAGATCTTCCTCTCTGTCTCTCCTCTCTGTATATCCGCCTTTCCAATGAAAAAATAATAAAAATAAATCTTTAAAAAAAAAAATAAATAAAAATAAATAACTCTCAAAAAAATGTTCTAAGGGTTCTGAAAGAAGAAAGAATTAATTTTTAAAAAATCACATGGTAATTTAAAAACAGAACTCATTCCCCCTATGATGTTAAAGAAACTCTATAAAGGAAAGCCAGAGGTAAAATGATTTTAAAAGCAAGATTAAAAATGCTTGTGTTACAAAGATACGCTCAAAGCCATCATCATCTTCAAAGCTGACTGAAGTTCAGCTCCAGTGGCTTTGACTTTAACCTATGGCTTCAACTGCTATTTGTGGTGCTACTGAAACTGCTTTAGTATTTGTTGTGAAACTGTTGTCAAGGATGCTGCTACCCTGAAGTCTGCCATCCCCTGTGATGTCTCATAGCAGAAGTTTCTTTATCACTAGCCGCTACACAACTTCCTTCTTTCAGCATTTCTGAGTATGACAAATATTACTTCTTGTCCTGAGGGCCCACAGTAAATTTCTTCCTCATTGACAAAACTCTTTTAAATTCTTGTGATTACCTCATTGCTTCATGCTCCTTTTCTAAGATTTTAAATTTCCAAATTTTTAATTTATCAATTACTCTTTTTATGCAATCTCAATTTTTTTGAAAGAAACAAGATTTCAACAAATAAACTGATACAATTAACCCAGCTGTCTCGAGGACATCAAAGCACCTGTAAAGGGCATCACCAGGATTCTTAACAATCCTTTGAGAAGAGAAAGAATCTATGAGTTGTTATCCTAACTCTTTCAGTTAAACTGAAGTTTCACTGTCTCTTTGAACTACAACCTTCATCTTAATTTTTCTGAGTGCCACATTTTACAGGCAACAATCTGGGCTTCATTGATGTAATAATATGGTTCATTTTTTAAAAAATTTATTTGAAAGGTAAAGTGACATGCTGAGAGGGGAGAGAGAATCTTCCATCCGCTGATTCAAATCCCCAGATGGCTTGACAGCTGGGCTGGATCAGGCTAAAACCAGGAGTTAGGAACTCCATCTGGATCTCCCACATGGATAACAGGGCCCATGTACTTAGAGCCTGCTGCTGTTTTTCTCCCAGGCACATTAACACGAAGCTAGATCAGAAGCAGAACTGCTGGGGTTCAAACCCAAGCTGCAATGTGGGATGCCCATGTAGCATTGTCCCACAACGCAGCCCCCAGAACATTTCTTAAATCAGAAAAAAATAGTTTGCCAAAGAA